GGGGGGGGGTCACAGAGAAAGCGTGGTCACTCTCCCACCCGTGTTAGCATCGGCGCCTCGAGGCTCTGTCTGAAACGGATGTCCCCGGCCTTTCCTCCCACTAAACTCATTTGTTCATCGCAAACCGACGGGGGTCCTAATCCCTCCGCTGCTTAATTTTTACGATCTGTCGTCTTGCTCGGTCAAGAGCGACGCAGTCAAGCGGTTCAACGCGTGCCTCGCTGTGAATATTTTGCATCTGGGAGCATCATTAATAAGCGGCGTGTTTGATTGCGTGACGTGTCGGCTTGGAGTCAAAGTCGCACGGCAAAACTTTGATCGGGTTGTTTGCACGGGAAGGCAGCGGCACGCTCGCGGCAGGGCCGAAAATTTGGGTGCGAAAGAAAACGGCGAATGCTCTTCTGGCCGCGGGGGGGTAGACATGAAATAATAAATAAGAGAGTCGTGTGATCGGACGCATCGATCCGAGTCTCTGCCGAGACAAACTGTCGCCGCCGCTTCAACAACTTTAATGAGTTCTTCCAATCGCTTTTGTGGTACCTCCACACGCCTCCTGCACCATTACATCGTCTTCTCGTACCTCTCTGACATCATCAAAACACGGTCCTATCATCGCACATTCCCGTCGTTATCATACCAATATCATGTGCGCCGTACAATGACAAACTGCTCACATGACATCATGTCGCAGGACCTTCCAATCAGTGTGTCCTTTGCGGATCCCCTTGAGGGGTCCCGCGTCTCATCGCGCAAAGTGAGAGGCACGGGGGGGGGCGGGGGGCAGCGGGTGAGAAAAAGGCAGAAAATAACAATGACGGAGGAGGACCATGAGGTGAGGAGAAGGAGCAGGAGACGATGGGGATCGGAAGGAGGGATGAGGAAAAAAAGAGGAGGGGCGATGAGGAGGAATGACGAGGAGGCGGCACGTCACCCGCGAGGAGGGAGTTCAAACGACGGACGGGACGAGACGAAAGGAGGAGGAGGAGCCATTCCAATTTCAAGATGATTATTTGAAGAAGGGAGGAGGTGGAGGTCGACAAAGCTGCCGCAAGGACGAAGCGCACGATGGACAAAAAAAAAGTCAGCTGTCCTCCACTTCCTCCTCTCGCCATTCAGACGACGCCCGATTGGCCCAAAGGAAGGGCGACGCCCCCTTCCCCCCCTTCCCACCCCCCGATGAACTTTGTCCGGAACCCATCATGACCGTAGGCTTGCCGCTCACCCCGGCGGAGCCCGGCAGCAAAGTGACGGGGACACTGTGGCCACATTAGCCGCGCCGCACGCAAACGCCACAACAACACACAACAGGAAGCGGCTCAAGCGGACCCCACATGCCCCCTTTTGCTCGGCTTTGCCGCCCGTCGCAGTGGCCGCCAATCACACTCAACTTCCAGGCACGTTTCAAGGTGGCCCTGGATGATTTCAACTTTCATATGACAACCGAGCTTCCATTTCCACATTCCATCAAAACGGGACGATTTCTCGTCCTTATTGACTTGATGCGCTCCAAATGATGACACGGTTTCCATTTCACATGACCAGGAGTCTTGAAATCTCCCCACTTTTTTCCATTCTCATTTCTTTTCCCATCGCTGCGGATGATTTCTTGGATGGCGCGTGACAGCCGAGAACCGCCACGGTGAGGTGAGGCGAAAATTTTGCGCAGGTGCACCCGAGCGGACGTGACGGCACTGAATATTGCAGTTAATGGCGCCCGTGGATTACGCAACGCTCGTCGGCTCAAGTGGTCCCGTGCCACCGTCTGCGTCTCCATCCTGCTTCGATTCCTCCTCCTCATCCTCACCTCATCTCTTCCAATTTGTCCTCCTTTTTTTTTTCTTCCAGCTACAAGTGGTCTTTAGCCCCCCGCCTTCCCGGCCTGATTTTGAATTTTCCTGCGACGGGCGTGGCCCCGCGCGTTCACCCCGCGGGCGAGCCCGGCGGCTCTCGGGGCGTCCCCTGCACCAACGCGCCAACTCCGCCGCTGGCGCAGATTGACAACGGCGGATTGAAATGCAAAAATTCTGCCAGATGTGCACCTTGTGGTGCGCCAGGTACGCCTCATGTTTTAAAGATGACATCCAAGACACAAACACGCCGAGCGCAACCTTGAAGCCGCCGACCTCCGAGCACACGGAAGCCATTTTCATGTTTTGGACCCGCGGCGTCTGGGAAGGACGTCGCGTTACTTTGTCACGTCTGGATCTCATCATAAAAGCAAATTCAAGTCGCCCGGCTCACTTCAAGTCGTAAACGTGAAATATGACAAATAGTGTCAAGTATGAAAACTGAAATCATCCACATCAGATGAAATAGCTTAAATCTACGATGATTGTTTTTCATCGCAACTTTTTGACACGCGATTCTTTGGTGAGGCATTTTGAAAACGGAACCCAGCTTTAGATGAAAATCCGTACACCAAAATAAAGTAATAGGAATTACGAGCACAGCTGTCGGATGCTTGGCTGTGTAACCACGGAGACGCGCGCAGGCGGCGTATCAGTGCTCGCACTGACAACACTGGATCGAAAGCCATCACACTCACACACACACACACACACACACACACACACACACACACGCACACACACACACACGCACACATATACCCCTTGAAAGATCATCTGCGGCACAATGACGGTGCGAGATGACTGATGGACGAAGACAAGGCCGAAGCTAATAAAATTCCATCGATATCAGAGCGAGAGTTCAAATGTTAGCGATGGTGATGAGTACATTTGCTGCGGCGGCCTTGAGTGGAGAGACACATCGTCGCAATCAATATTTGTTGAATAATATGAAAGGAAGTTCAAAACTGAAAACGGACGCCATCATCAAACTTCGCATGCTGATTGGCTCTGTTGTGCAATTCGTCCCGCCTCCCCACCACCACTCGGTCACTTGCCAGTGGTCCCTCCCCCAGATTGGAAAACACAAACGCGCCCACCGCGCAAACACACGCCGAGACATGAACGGCGTGTGCGCAGTCGGAGACTCTCCCACAAGCGACACCCCGACGCCAACGATTGACTGCTGCTTGGGCTCCTTTTGTTCACCGGCGGCAGCAAACACAGGAAGCAGTTTTAAAAAAACAAAACAAAAACAAAAGAAAAACCAGAGCAGCTTTGTTTGGTGCTCGCAGCTTGCGCACAACAACTTTTAGAGTCGGTAAACTCAGCTGGACGCTCCTTGTGAAGAGGTAAACAGGAAAAGGACAAAGAAGAAACGCTTCCTCCATCACCAAATGCCGTGACGGCGCTTTTTAAACATGGCGGGATGTGGCCCTCAACACACACACACACACACACACACACACACACACACACACACACACACACACACCACACACACACACACACACACACATGAAACAAAGGGTGTTTGAATGACATGAGTCTGGAGTCTGTATTGGAGGCTCACGGAGGTCACGCCTCACCTCTCGATGACACACACACCGCCAAGGTCAAATCATCTCTCCTGCACACACAAACTCAAAACGACCGCCAAGGTTGAATGCTCTCACGCGGCGACCATCGTCAAATACTGTCACACACACACACACACACACACACACCGCTCCCACAATCAAAGACGCACTGATGGCAATTTCATCTTTGGCGAAGCCGAAATGTAATCACGGAGGGTTCAGAGGTGAAAGTCTTGCCCTCCGGCTCTGCGGCTTTGGGGGCGGAGCTAAGCCTTTTCCTTTGACCTCAGTGCTCATAATATCTGTGCGCCACTTCCAACGCGTGGGTCTGAAAGCGGCTAAAAAAAAAAAAAAACAAACCAAGCAAGCAATTCTAGATTTTTTTTTTTTCCTCAACTTCGGGTGTCATCACGGCCAGCCGCGGCTTTCCTTCGGGTGTCTCTGTTGTAACGAACGCACTCGGCTGGCATTTAGCGAAAACGTTCCGGACGCCTCCGTCAGTGCGCGTGTGGGTGTAAAGGGCAGCGTGTTGGCTTCAAGCTGGGGTGACTGATGAGTGTAAAAAGATATTTCTGCTCTGATGTGTGGAAGAGGATATCATATCGCGCTGCAGCAGGTGCAGCGCCGGCGTGCGGATTGAAAGAGCTTTATTATGCGGGGGCAATAAAGACGACGGCGTGAGGCTGGCGGACAGAAACGCTCGACGGCGGTGTCAAGGTCGCCAAATCACACGCGACGCACTTGACGTCAATTTTAGCTTTGAAAATGGAGGATATCGTCAAAGACGACGTCAGATTGTTATCGTTTAACAGATTTTGTCGTTACAATACCATACAGTCATTTTTTTTTGTTGTTTTTTTTTTTTTTTTTCCTGGTCCCGTTACACTTGGACTGAATGAGGACTTCACTCCTACTTTTTTATTCCGCTCCCCGTCTTATTTTTCCAGCGGCAAAGTGGTGCATGTTTCTGATTTTGGGCTTCAGTGAAGCAGCAAACAGCTCGAGTCCCGGCGCGGAGGCAACATCAGCAACAACAACCAAAAAAAAAAAAGAAAAAAGAGAGATACACACACATGCACACACACACTTGCAGTACTCGTTGCCAGTCACTGTCGAGGCACATATTGACAAACAATGTACTGGTCGCTCGCTATTCACTGCGGCTGTGATCTCGATTCATAAAACAACAAAACAGAACAAGGAAAAAAAAAAAAAATCTGATGTGAGATTTTTTTTTTTCTTTCTTCATTTAATGAGCGGTTGAACAGATTTTTAGCCTGCGGCACTTGTAAAGTTTGTCACACTTGCTGGCATCTCCGAGCAGATGCTGGAGGCCGTCGTTGTCATGACGACATCATCATCATCATTTGCAACGACCGGGCAACTTCCTGTCGACCTTTGTTGCCTCTTTCGGAGTTCAAATGAGTCCGAGAATATTTGGGAGGCCCG